AGGAATCCATTCTTCTAACAGCTTTGTGTGACGTCCCAAATACTTTCGAAATCCCAAATTACAACTTCCTGTTTCTGCTTGATTACATGAAGTGCATCTCATCCCATAGCTGTGACCCCAAAACAACACCTAGCATTTGTCCAAATCTCCTAATTTTAATTTCCCTTTTAGCCATAGGTAATCAAAACACGAAAGTGCTCTAAGCTGCTTCTTTCAAGTGTAATACCTTATCTGCAGAGATTTAAGCAAAAAAAATTTGTTCAAACTTTTCCTATTTTAAACTACCTACTGATTTTCCTCTGAGATTTAGAAATGTCTTTTTCAGAATTCGACTACAGTATATATAAAAGGTCTGTTTGTGAGAATGTATGTTTTCCTTCCGATCTCATTTCCTATTGTAAAAGCTAATTGTCAGTGCCTGGCACGGTGTCTACCATAACTAGTTCAATAAATGTTGACTGGAGCTGATTCGACCACTGATAAGAAGCGAACCATCTTTTTAACTCTGGTTGTGCTGACAATTATTTTTAAACCTATGCTGAGCTGTATGATTGACTGAAAGAAAGAGATCTCATTCCCCAGCGGGAGCCTCTGGAGCTGCAGTGACCTCTCCACCCCCACCCTCTTCTTGACTTCCATGGAGCCTTGAGATGCTCTCCTCACTAGGGCAGGCCCTTCGAGATTGTTCCAAGTAGGCTGGTTTTGAGAGCTGAGTCTTTTGCCAGCCAGATTCATTTGAATTAGCCACTGTCCCTGCCAGGAATTCACAGCTGGAGCTGGTGCAGACTCCTTCTCTTGGGTGGGGACAGGAGGGAGGAAGGGGAGGTAGGATGAAAAGGGACAAAATGTAGGTACCTTCCGTGCAGCCCCTTTCTTCTCCTACCTGCCTCTGAAGCAACTCAAATCTGCTCTCCAGGGGTTGCAGAATGAGCAGTAGTCATACTGTGGCTGCCATGCTCTTACGAGAAAGTATTAGGTTCTCCGGAGGAGTTTAGGGCTCCAGAGGAGCCTAAGCTTGGCCCTGAGCCCAGTCAGCTGAGCTCCAGCTGCAGCAGCACCATGCTGCTCAGCCCAGGCAGCCCAAGATCTGCACCACTTCAAGCTCAGGTACAGCTGGCCCTTCTGCCCACTCTCCCAACCCCAGTCCTGCCCACTGGGCTCTCAGAGGCCCCAGTCTATAAACGGTGATTTCAGAGGCTAAGCACTGAAGCCTGCCCAGGCATTTGTGTAGCAGAACTAGAAGAGAGAAGCCTTTCATTGCTCTCAGTGATGTCCGGCTCTGTCTTCTCACCATTTCGCTGAACCCATGTGCAGGAAAACCTAGAGGCTACTGGTTTGGGGCTCTTACCTCTGTTCCCATCATGCGGCCCAAAGGAGGCCCTGGGCAAGATGGTAATGCTTGTTTTAAAATCTCTCCCCAGCCTCCTGGCCTTTCCACCTGTTGGTGGAAGGCTCTGCTCCAGTATCTCCTTCCCAGCCGTCCACTGCCCCTTCCTGCCACTCCCTCATTCTCAAGTCTTTGTGATGTACCAAGGTAGAACTACCTCACAAGCTAGACTTCAGGTTCTGTGCAAACTCCAATCCATTGGTATAGGCACCATCTTTCTTGCAAGGTACCTTCTGGTCTTGGTTTAGAAATAGTGAGTACCATGATTAGCTCGCTTGATTAGTTCTCCCTGCCTCCTCCGTGAGTGGGCACATAGACACCATGTAGACATGTTTGTACCAACATGTAGACTATTTTGTTACCAACCCAGTGAAACAGAGTTCAAATAGTTTCTCTATAAAGGGCTGAAATGCTGAGACTGATAATTTGGCCATAGCAAAGCAGAGGTAAAATGTGGAGGGAAAATACTTGCTTTTGGCCATAGTGATCATAACCTATATTTTTATTTTCTACCCTAAGGAAAAAAGGTTTTTGGTAGGGGCATGACTTATTTATCATTTAAATAACTCATTTCACAATGTTCTTCTGGAATTTGAGTGGGCCTGTTTGGAATTTTCTTGGGTTGTTAGCAGCCCCCTCATGATATGCTTATTCAGGGGTGTACATGAGTCTCTTCCTGACCAAGGATACCCTGGAGACTCTCTACTGGCAGGGTGATGGCTGTGACCTTCAGTACAGAACTCTGCTCCTGAGGAACCACACTGGGTGTTTGGGAGGCACACGGAACAATTTCAGAGTAGTGTGAAGCACCAGCTGTGAATTCCTGGCAGGGACAGTAGCTAATTCAGTGGCTAATTTATTTATCTTCTACTTCTAAATGTTCTACTATGAACATGTAAAATCAGAGAAAAAAGATATAAAAAAGAAGATAATGCTATATGGCATATTATATACCAATTATGTATTTTAGATAGCTATATCGAGTGGTGGTAAAAATTTTAGTGGTTCTTAATTTTTCATATTTTTCTGCAACTATCAATATTTGTTAACGAAGGGGCACCTGGGTGGCTCAGTCGTTAAGCATCTGCCTTTGGCTCAGGTCATGATCTCAGGGTCCTGGGATCAAGCCCCACATCGGACTCCCTGCTCAGTGGGAAGCCTGCTTCTCCCTCTCCCACTCCCCCTGCTTGTGTTCCTTCTCTCGCTGCGTCTCTCTCTGTCAAATAAATAAATAAAATCTCTAAAAAATATATATTTGTTAATGTACATTTGTTAATTATAGAACCAGAGAAATATTTTTTAAATAAAGTACTGGGGCTTTTTTCTTAGCCAAAACCCCAGTTGATAAATATCAATTAAAGAGAAAGGTTTAAACAGGAAGGGCAAGCTTAACATGTTTGAGAAAAAATATAGAAAACTATATTTATCACCTTAGGCTAAGGAAGGGTTTCTTAAGACACAATATATGCTATCCTTGAAAGAAACCTTAATGAATTCAACTGCAATATAAGAACGTATGTTCATCAAAAGCCACCATAATGAAAGTCATATAACAAGCCACACTCCTGGAGAAAATATTTGCCACACATAGAATTGAAAAGCTAGAAATGTTTTTTGTATATTAAAATACATTAATACTTAAAAATATATATAATATATAATATTTTCATATCATTGAAAAATGTTAGTTCCAGAACATGTAAATAACTCATACAAATTGCTGATGATAAGAAAATGTTGGTGTCCAGAAAATGGGCAAAGGACATGAACAGGCACCTCCAGAAGAAACACAAATGTACCAAAACGTTGGAAGATACCCACTCGACCTTGTTAGTAACCAGAGAAACACGGACTGTTACTGCTGAGATACCACGATGCACCCAGCAGAGAGGCCGAGGGGAGGCGAGAATCAGCAGCAGCTAGAACCCTTCTTCACTGGCCGCTTCGGAAAACCCTTCAGTGCAATCTTGTCAAGTTGAGCAGGCACTTACCCCATAACCCAGCAATTCTATTTCTGGGTATTTACCCAGTGAGAAATGTTTGAACATGTGCACTTGGACAAGCACAAGAACATTCAAAGGAGCGGTTTTCATACTAGCAAAGACTAGTCAGCGGAATAATATGCCGCGGCCCTGGGAATCACACTGCTCTGCAGATGGAGGCACCATGGCCGCACACAGCAGAGTGGCCCCATCTTAGTAACACAACGCTGAGAAAAGACAAGTCCAGCAAGATGATGCACATACAGTATAATATCCTTTCTCAAAGCTTATAAACAAGCAAACCTAAACAGTATATTACTTAGGGAGGCCCATGCAATATGACAGAAAATTTTCTAAATCTTCAGGGAAATGACAAACACCAGATGCCGACTAGGGGCCCCTGTGTCGAGAGGTTATACGTGGGAACGAGGAGCCCCGCGCGCATGGCTTCAACCGTGCAGTGTGTTGCTTGTGTTACACTTTTTAAGTCGAGTGAGGGGTTTGCAGTTGTTGGGGTCCTTATTATGTTTTATGACTTGGATATGTGTAATATTTTAGTGGACCATATATTATATCACCCAAAAATATTAATGACTACAGAAGGAAATACGTGGGATATCCAAAGCCTGTAAGTGGAACTCCTTTGATTTGAACTCAGTCTGACTTGGGATTCTAAACTCTTAAACCTACCTGGTCATGATGTATTGCCTTATTAATAGTGCTTTTAGTTTGAAAAAAAAAAAATAAATCCTGATTATAATCATTGGTATGGGTATCGAGGTACAGACTCATTTCCTTAACCCCACCCTTTACTTCTCAACATCTTCCAAAATGATCATTGTCCCTCCCAGTGTGGCTAAGAGAGAGAAGGCGAGGAGTGCCCAAAGCATGCTTCTCTAGCGCCCCCTACAGACCAGATTTACTGTAGCAGCGAGTGGGGTGTCCACCAGACCCCAGGGGGCTGGGGCGGTGACATCTTCACCCACAGGCCAACTCCCCTGAAACTGGCCCATGGTTCTTTTCTCTGTGGTCATTCTTTGGGGTTAGACAAATGGGGGTGAGGGCTTTGTTTCCTGAATACACTGAGGGTGTCCCCCAGCCCTACCTCATGCATGCGCTCCCAGGGGTCAGCCGATCAGACTGGCACAGAGCCCTTTCCTTACTTAGCAGAGTTGCTGGAAGGGGCAGGTTTGGGACTATGAATCCTTGAGCCCCAGGCAGCTGGAGAAGATAAGAGGTGGAGAACAATCTGGGGAAGGGATGGGAAAAGCAACCGGCTTCTGGAGGAGTGAGGATAGCACACAGAACTCAGTGCTACCGAAGCATGCACCAGGGTCCCAAGGGAGATAAGTGCTGTGAAGGCCATGGGGATCCTCTCCCTTCCCTGCTGGGGCGTCCGATGGGGACAAGTCGGGGTGATGGCAGAATGCATCCCAGCCCGGTGCACTGTCAGGTCAACTCCCCCTACCCCTCTCCACAGTCCCAGCCAGCACCAGCCCCTCACATCATATTCAAAATGGGGAGACAACAGAGTCCAAGCCATTGCAAGAGATACATAAGCTCCATCAACCGAGCACAAAGCCATTGTTCTTAGCGTTCAAAACGAGGGATATCAAACCTTTAAGACTCACAAAATGGCAAATTGAGGTCCAGAAATTGATTGCAAGAAGCACAGTGGCCAGTATAGGTTTTGAACTCCATTGCTCTATCGTCTCGAGAATCCTGGCTGGCCAGACCGGCATGTCAGACCACTACAAGCTAATACCTTTCTTGTTGTTCATTTTCTACCTGAGTGCAAAGGAGCAGAAGCAGGAAGAAAGACTTCCTGTCCAGCAACACTCCCCAACTCCCATCTCGCTTCTCCAGCCTGGCTTCCCTCTGTATAGCCTCCAGCTCAGGTTGCCAAAATTAATCACCGGTGGGGTTGAAGCAACAGCGCTGTTCCCTGGCTCTAGGCCAGGCTCCCAGGATGTGCGTCAGAAAGAGCCAGTGAGTGAAATTCCAAAGCAATGTGAGTCACCAGGGAGGAGGAGAGGCCCGGACAGGAGTCAGAATGAGAACCTGAGGGCAGACCAAAAAAAGGCCCTGGGGGGTCAGGGGCTGGGCCGAGATACCAAGAATGCTCACCTGTCCAAAGTTGGGAGTGGGGCCTCCGGTCCAAGTGGCTTATCTCTGGGCTCTGCACAGACCTGGACGGGGAGGCAACTGACCGGGAGGCCGGCCTGCTAGTCCCACCCCTGGATACAGTAACCATGACCCTTACCTGGCTCCCCATAGGCTGGGCTTTGGATCCCAGCCCTTAAATCCGTGTATTGTTTCCTCACGCATTCCCTCCCCTTGACCTGGCCCAGGACATTGCTTCCGGTCAGGGAACGGTGATAGGCCAGCTGGGCCCCAGGGGAAAGACAGCAGGTAAGCCTGTGACCCATGCCCTGCCATTCTGAGACACCCGCCCC